TTAAAGAAAAATTAGAAAAAAAGAACGAAAAATGGCTAAATGAAGCAAATCCAACGTATGAGAACCAAAGTGTAAGTATTTAATGGTTCATTTGGACCACAAAAGATACTTTGAAGATTGATAGGAGTCAACTGAATGCAAATTGGAGTCAAAAAGGAAAGAGATATGATTAGAAAATTACCATAAATCAACTTCCAATCATATATGATATTTTCAAGATTTTTGGTCAAATTAAGACCCATTTTTCGGATGGAGAATGTTTGAATTAGAAAAATTGTACTTCTATAAGAATTGTAGCTCTTTTAATTAGATTTCCAATGCACTTTGAATCGCCTAAATCAGACATCAAAAGAGAAAGTTATGACCAAAATACTGAAAACTGTACAGAAACAAAATTACGTGCGCGCGAAGGCAACTTTCCTTATTTGATTCAAACTCTTTTGGAAGACAATTTGGATGTAAAATTTGACCTAATTTCATTATATAAATACAAGTATGGGTAGCAATGAAAGGGTCTCTCTCTCTTGCCTTTTTATACACAATAGTTTCTTCAAATCCATCAAGAACAAGGGGTCAATTACTATATTTTGAAAGAGGAGATCAAGCCATAGCAAGGAATTGAAGTTCAATTACATCAAGTTTTGAAGAATTCAACTTTGGATGTGAAGATCAACATCTTTTGTATTCTTTCATGATCCGGGTGATATTTTTCTATTATTCTTTTTGTAATTTATATATTAATATGCTATGTTAGTTTTTCATTGTATTAGATGAATAATAAACCCTGTCGTTTATTTATTTAAATTCAAGATAACTAATTTAGTATTTCATGTTTTTTTCTTGATTGGTTTTGCATTCTCATTGAACTATTTAATTGCTTGACCACCAATTAGATAGTAAGTTGCTTGTTGCAGTGTAGGAATATTCACAATAAGTCTAGAACGTGGTAAAATCAACACATGGACAATAGATCTTAGGAATAATATATATGACATGTGCAATCATGTGTGATAATCCTGTGAATTAATGCATGTTTTTCATATGAATTCAGACTAGGAATAAGATTGGATCTTGTTAAACATAGGTTTAATATATCTTGGGAAAAAATATTAAATAAAAGTGGATTATCGATTGTCTTGAATGCATGAATTTACTAGATTATAAATTAAGAGTTGAATTAAATAGCAATAGGGGGATTCACGATTCCAATACAAATATTCACATATTGCTTTCTTAGTTTAAAATTAGCATAGAAAACATACAAATCACAACTTTTTTTGTTTTATATTACTTCGAATTTAGTAAAAGCTACTTAACTAAATATTAGACCTTATTTCTCGTGGGAACGATACTCTTAACTCACAAATTTTATTATTTATACAACGATCTCATACGCTTGCGCGTTTCACATGAACACTGGCCATTAGTTAAATTGTTTGTAGGTTTTATTATCATCAAGAAAGATAGTAGAATCATTGGCACATAATGATAAGCATTGTGAGATTCGATAGAGAATAGAGACATACTTCTATGCTTCACACGATTTTTTTTATAGATGTTATAGCTTGTTTAATGCTTTCTTGCACGTTCGTGTCTTTCATAGAAATATATGAAGTTCACATGTAAGATTGGATTTAATTGCTATCGAGAGAGGTTTTTAATTAAAATAGGAATATCACCAACAAACATGATTTTGAATTGTCAATTTAAATTGTTGACCTAAAAATGAATTAGAAAGGGGAATTTGACATTTTAGCAATACTTTCACATATTTGAAAAACCCGTTAAATCGCTTTTGAGTTTAGTTGATAACTTAGGTTTTAATATAGAAAACTCAAAACTTGTTACTATTCTATTAATATTATTATTAATTTAAACTCAATCAAATACTTAGTTCTCGTGAGTTCGACACTATTTACTCTACTATATTACTTGTTCACAATCCCGTCCACTTACAGGAAATCAAACAATCAATTATTTTGAATAAATTAACATTTTAAACTTTGAGAACATTACAGAATTAAAACGATTAGAACAGTTAAAATGGCTAAAATTCTAATGCTTCTTTATGTCGACAATCACAACTCCCTTCGTGCAGATGGTACTGATACGACATATAAATGAAGAAACCTTTGAACAAATAATAATAATAATATTGAATACAGTCAAGTCATTACTATTGAATCCATTACACAACTAAGTCATCTACCAAAGCCAAATGTTTCATATATGCCAGTTCTATTATTAACTTTCACTAACCATCGTCAATAACATTCAGAAGTTGATGAACCAGACTTTTGTCGAGACTGTTCCGCACAAAGTAGTGTATAATATAACTCCTTGTTTGTCTCTCTTTAAAATAAAATTATTTAATTCTTATACTCATTTTCAACCATACATTTACACAATAAAATTTATTATACGTAAACCCAAAATTTTTTCCTACTTTTCAACAACAAATTCTCCAAAAAAATCGTTATTCAAAACTTCATTTTTTCAAAATAGTGGCCATCGAACAGGGCAAAATAATATTTAACGTAAATTCAAATCTTTTTCTAATTTTTTAATTACACATTTTCCAAAAAATCGTTACTTCAAAACATTTTTTCTCCAAAATTCCTTTTTAATGGAGCCCAAACTGGGGATAAGTTTGATCACGGTTAGATGCAATCATGAAATTAAGACCAAAAATATAAGTTGAACAATCAAAATGAAACAAATTGAGATTCAATGACCAACATAAACTAATATGCAAGTTGGATGACCTATAGTGAAATCTCCCCTTTGAACTTTAAGGTATATTGGCCCAGCATGAATATTAAAAAAATCCAAATTAACATGATATTATTCTTCGTTTTGAAAGTTAATTTAAAAAAATAAAAAAAAAATCGCCTTTTTTCCCGCATTTATTTTAACTATAGTTTCTTTAAAAAAGTTATTGTCTCGCTTTTCCATATCAGAAGTAAAGACAAACTCTATTATCTTGTTATAATCTTATTATAATTGGATTAATTTATTATGAACCTTTGAGGTACAAAATTTAGTCCACTAGCTAAGCATTAACAATACAATTCCTCCTTATCATGTCTAATTCGTGACAATTTTTAACTGTTGTCCTATTTACCATTCAGCATTGAAGTGCATTGTCAACTAAGTGCTTGTTTGGTATGAATTTTGATAATTAATTTTTGATCGTTAGAGATAAAGAAAGTCCTACTTGTGAGAGAATAATTCAAAAATGACCATTAAAATAGTAAAATAACAGTCAAAAAATTGATTTTAATTGACTTTTAAACTGTACCAAACAAGCTATAAATTGTATTGCTAAATCAAACACTGTGTTACGAGTATACTTTGGCCGATTTGTTTTAATAGTCAGCGAAAGAAACAACAATAATGATGGGTAAATTAACTCAAAGATACAAAGAAGTTCATGAAAAGTAAGATGGAGATTAACTTTATATAATCAAAAGGTGAAATGCTTTACCGCTGACATTGGAAAGTTATTCACTAAATGATGGGTAAATTAACTCAATGATACAAAGAAGTTCATGAAAAGTAAGATGGAGATTAACTTTATATAATCAAAGAGGTGAAATGCTTTACCGCTGACATTGGAAGTTATTCACTAAAGATTTGTTTGATAGCATTAAATTTCATAAAAAATATCACATCGAAGGAATTCGTTTTCTACTTTGACTGTTTGACATGAAAGTGGAAATTGAGTTCGAATTTCAAGGTACAAACATTTAAATCAAGTTTTTGGCCAATTAAATGGAAATCGAATTCCTACAGTTTTGATAGTTTTTTCTTTTCCAACTTACATGATATTGGTTTGCCTTTTCCACCTTTACTATCAAATGGACCTTAAAAGTAAAAAAACTGGAAAAATTTTACATTTGAAAGTAAGGCATCATTTGATTGGGTTTCAATTCCATGGAAATTTGAATTCCAATTCCATGTTTTCCTTTTTTTGTTGTTTGATAGGTTTTATTTTCCTTAAAATTCAAATTCTTTGTTTGTCTTGGAATCTAAAATTTTCCATGAATTCAAGGGTTTTTGGTGAGAATTGGAATTCTCGGTGACTGTAACATTTTTTTTTTCAATTTATTTATTTATTTTTTGGTAATGGAAACAAATTCTAAAAATTATTGTAAAAAAATATTTCATTTTAATTGACAATTTTCGTGTAAAATAAAGCCAAACGAACACAAAAAATTATATGATTTTTTTTTTTGAGAAAATTTCACAAAATATCCATTTTTACCTAATCATTTGCAAAAATGTCCATCATTGCAAAAATGTATAATTTGGAAGAATTTAGACCAAAATACCCTTATTAACAATTTATAATCCCACACTAAGATAAAAAAAAGGACATTTTTGCAATATTGTTATTGGCCAATAAAATTTTGACACATAACTTGACATATTTATTTCAAAAAGTATACATGTCAAATCACAATGAATGCTACGTTTTTCATTGATTCAGAAATGTCGAAAACGACATTTTTAAATATAAAAAAATGTCATGTTCAAAATAAAATGTCATTCTAGACAAATGAAACGATGTTCAAATGTTGAGAATGACATATGAAATGTTGAGAAACATTATTTTAATGTAACTTATCATGGAAGCCACTTCTCAAAATTCGTGACAAATTGATAAAAAAAATAAAATATCGAGAATACAATTTCAAAATGTAGCTTTTCATTAAAAGCATAATAGACTAGTTGACATTAAATTCAAATGAGTAGACATTTTTCAACTCATATCCTTAAAATTAGACATTCTTAAAAATGCTCCTTTTTTGTTTTGGCAATGGAAACAAATTTCATCTCCAATACCAGTAAATTCTATCATTTTAATTGAAAATTTTCATGTAAAACAAAGTCGAACAAACACCAAAAAATACTTTAATTTCAACATTTTTCACGTGAAAAATTATACCAATCAAATGCAATAACTTACAATTCTTAGGAAAATAATTTGTTGGCAATTCAATTCCCTGAAATTCGTTTTCTAGACAATTCAATTCAATTCCATCTTTGTAATCAAACGGACCTAGGATACATAAAGAGTGCAATATTAGACATAAGACAAATCCAACTCTGCCATCAACAAAGCTGGTAACGGTTTAGGCAATGAGCTCTTTTCAGCTAATCTTTGGCTGTCGAGTTTCTTCCACTGATATCCTCTAACATCCTCACTACCTCGGACATTTTTGGTCTATGCTTGGGAACACTTTTAACACAATCCATCGCTATCTGCAAAACCTCCACCATTGCTTCCTCAATATTTTGATACCTCAACAACTCGATATCGAACATTTCCACAGTCCATTCCTCACTAACAACAGAAGCAACCCACCTTACTAGCTGACTGGCCTTTTTGTTATCTTCAGAAAGTATAGTTGGCTTTCCAGTAAGAAGTTCGAGAAGCACGACTCCGAAGCTGTAGACATCAGAAGCTTGGGACAATTTCTTGGTATCCACGACTTCTGGGGCGCGATACCCTGATGAACGACTATGTAGCACCGAGGTTGTACTAACTAATGTTGCCAATCCGACATCTGAAACACAGCCATATCCTTGAGCAGTAAGAAAAATATTCGAGGCTTTTACATTTCCATGGACAATATTCTGGCCAAGCTGTGTGTGGATGTGAGCAATACCCCTTGCTGCCCCTACTGCAATTCTTAGTCGAGTTTCCCAATCTAAAGTAATTTTACTCTTGCCAAATTGTCCTGCAAAGACGATAAAATTCTTAAGATTAAAATCACCTGCAAAATTATTATCTACAAAGGGTTGCAATTGTATTGCAACGGAATGAGCTTATATTTAACATTGTGTGCTAGAATCGTATGACGTTTTTTTTAACTACGACTGTTGTGAAGATACGAAACGAGCTCCAGATTGATTCCTTAAAGAATTGACTTGGAGTCACACATGTTAAAATAACTACTGATTTCCCTGATATCATCCAACATTATCCATCTTGAAGAATACAAATAAGCATTTTACAAGTGACATAGTATACCAAGGGGAAGTAGGATATTTTACTTACCATGTAGCATGGAAGATACACTCCCCGCACCATAATAATCATACACCACAAGCTTATAATCACGCGAGTAGTAGTATGCCATTAATGTAGCAACACTTTCGTTCTTCATTCTTCCAATGACCTCCATTTGTTGCTGAAATTCTTTACTCGTAACGATAACATCCTTCAATGTCTTTACCACAATTGTAATTCCATTATCTAATGTTGCCTCATATGAAGTCCCAAATGTTCCCTTCCCGAGAACCTCTGCAGAAGCCCGCAACAAATCTTCAAGGCCAAAATCAAGATTACGACCCTCATTAAATACAAGCTTCGGTTGTAGTTGATTTCTTTCATATGACTTAGTAATGTCCTCCATCATCTTCCAAATGACCTCCATCATCTTCACTACTTGGTCCATTTTAGGTCTTTTACTTGGGTTTTTTGCAACACAACTCATCGCTATTTCCAACATCTTTACCCTTTGTTCCTTGTTATGGTTTCTCGAGATCTCCACATCAAACACATCAGCAGTTCGCTCCTTACCATTGAGAGAATTAACCAATTTGACTAGATCGAGAACCTCATTGTCACCTATGGCGTGTAAAGGGGACTTTCGAGTGAGAAGTTCAAGCACAAGGATTCCAAAGCTATATACGTCAGACGCTTGGGACACATTTCGGGTGTTCTTGACTTCTGGGGCATGGTGCCCAGCAGTTCGCATGACTGGTAATTGAATCATGCTTGCCAAGCCAAGATCAGACACACAGCCATACTGTTGTGAATTAAGGAAAATGTTTGATGATTTTATGTTTCCATGGACAAGCTTCCCACTACTTTGCTTGTGAATGTGTGCTATACCCTTTGCTGCACCCAATGCAATTCTCAGTCGCGTTTCCCAGTCTAATGGAGCCCGATTCTTGACTTTTTTTCCTGGTTAGATGAGAAAATGCAATCAATTGCATAGTAAAATTTTCATATTTCTTTACTGTAAGCAAATATATTGATTGAGGCTTGGATATAGTAGGTGTTAAAAAGATCGTGCTAAATTTAATGCGGAAGAATTCGAGAAATGCATTCAACATATTAAACATGTTAATTAGATGTTTAATTTAGTGCCTTTGTATAATACTTCAACGAATAAAGCGATCTTCAAGATCAAAACCTTGTATGTGATTAGAAATTTTCTTCAGATGCATAAAAATCATGGGAAGTAGAAATTAAACATACCATATAATATTGCAGATACGCTGCCATTACTGTAATGATCATAAACCATGAGCTTTTCATCTTTGGAAAAATAGTAAGCCTTCAATGCACGCACGTTTGCGTGCCTGACATTTCCAATGACCAACATCTGTTGTCTAAACTTCTTTTCTGAAATATTGTATACATTCAATGTTTTGAGCACAACTGTTATTCCATTAGCCATAGCTGCCATATATGCACTTCCAAATGTTCCCTTCCCCAGAAACTGAGCAGTAGACCTCAACATGTCTTCAAGGTCGAAAGCAAAACTAAAACCCTGAACAAATACCAGCTTAGAAACCTCCTTTTCAGCAGATGTTTCTTTCTTTTGCAAGTTTTCAACTGCGAGTGGAGGTAGCTGCTGATACGAAGATGAACTTCGAGGGCTTGAAAAATCAAAAGGCACACCAAGGACTTGAGAATCCAAACTGCAATCAGATGGTATAGAGCTGACACTTGGGCTCTGATCATGAAACATTCGCCATAGTTCCTCTCTCCGGATCACAGCTCCCACTAATCTCTCCCAGTGGTCGTAGACGTTCGACATCTCTCTTCAACGTAAAAATTCTCTTGGTAGGTCAATCAAAATAAAAATTGCTGAATACTTACCGCGTATCCCAATATTCCCTCAGTACTGATATTGACATTGCTGGGCCTTTCGTTCATTCTTAAAAAATTATATTCCAATGGCTCATACGCGCATTGGCGTCAGAAAATGGTGGATAAATGGACGAATCTTCCAGGTAATTACTATTCAGCAATGAAATAGCAACTTTCACACGGCAGCAGTAACATAGACATTTTCATCTAGTCCGTTAGCCCCTGTTAGCTCTCTATTAAAATCAGGTTTTGATACCCTCCATGTGATTTTAGAATGGATAATTATGTTTGTTCTCAATTAAAATTACTTTTTGATACTTTCCATGAGATTTTAGAATAGAAAATTTCTTGCAGAGAATCTACCCGTTGCAGCATTCTACATCCCAAGGTAAAATAGTTTATTTTCAAAATGTACCATCCCTTGCCTTCTTCAAAGACAAAACTACCCCTGATTGGAATTATTATTATTATTATTATTTTTTTGGGGTGCGTGGGGTGGATGGGATCCTTACAAATGTCGGAAAAGACACAAATTAATTGATGATTTTTACAAATGTCGGAAAGACACAAATTAATTGATAGGTCTTGCAGTGACAACATTCAACAAAACATATTTAATTGCACAAGAGCCCATATAAGTCATAGTAGGACCCATTTTTTCATCCAAAATCATAATCAGTAATTATGTTCTTACAAAAAAAAACCTATTCTTGAGTTAGAAGCACAAATAAAATATGAGCTGAATAAATAGTTCCTCATCCTCGCATTATCAAACCGTACTTTTCGTGTACGCCAATATTGATTATGAATACGGTTATAATCAACAATATACAAAGTAAATAAAAATATAAACTGACCGAACATTATAATATACAAATATTCTAACTTAATTTCGTTAGATTACCCAAGAGGATATAAACGAACGAAATAGGACAACATTTTCAAGTATGAATGTGACAAAAAAAGATCAGGGAAAAGAAAACTATATCACCTAAACTAATTTCAATAAACAAATATCCATTTGTGAAACTGAATAGGATCCAATCAAAACCCTAGATGGTGTTAAATTTGGTGTCGAACCTGAAGAATTTGTTTCATAGGATGGCCTATTGCCCGTATTGACACTTATAATACCCTCAACCATTTTTACTACCTCGATCATTTTTGGTCTCTGTTCTAGCATTCTCGTAAAATAACTCATACCTATTTACAGCATTGCTACCATTTCTTCCTCTATATTAGGATACCTAGCGCTTGAAGTCAAATACTTCATAAAAGGGCTCATGGGTAAGAAAGATGGAGTGCAGCCTATAGAGCACATGTGAGGCACAGTCGGATTTCTCATGCAACGGATTCACAGTCCATTTCTCACATACAAAAAAATGAACCCACTGGACCAAGTTGATAACCTCGTCCTCGTCACTGCCCATGTCGTGGACAAGTGACTTTCCAGTGAGAAGTTCAAAGAGGACGCCATAACTGTAGACGTCAGATGCTTGGGACACCTTTCTTGTGTCTGTTACTTGTAGCAAGCGATTTGCTACCGTTCACAATACTAGTGGTCTGATGGGACTCATCAATGTTGCCAACCCAAGATCGGAAATATAACTGTATTTTTTGTTAGTTTCAGGGATACGTTCGATGCTTTTACTTTTCTAGTGATTTTAATTCATTTTGTGAAGATCAATGTATAACATATCAATGTTCTACTCCTGAGAAAGCCGAACAAAATACTATACATGAAAGAAAAAGTAGGACATGAGTAGAAATGATAAATGCAATGTTAACTTACTCTAAGTTACCATTTAACTTGTGAGGTAAAGCATTATTGAGTGCAAATAGAGTGTTAAATATAATTCCTTCAAAACTTACAAAAGTTTCTTCTTATGAATTGTGGAAGGGAAGAAAATCAAATATTGGATACTTCAAAGTGTGGGGATATCTTGCTTATTGTAAGAACACAAACCCTAAAAGGATCAAGTCGGGTCCAAGAGACATCAAATGTGCCTTTGTTGGATATGCTAGTAATAAAAAATCCTATAGATTACATAATTTGGAAACCAATGTAACAATCGAATCAAATGATGTGGATTTTTATTTTTATTGCTATTTTTTTTTTTGAAAATTCACTACCTTCAATAACGAATTAAGAAAAACTCATAAAGAGATCTCTAACTCTAGTAGAACACAAGAGGAAGCATATCTTAAAGATGTTGATGAATCTGGTAAATCTCGAAAAAGCAAAAGAATTCGAAAAGAAAAGACATCGGGATTGTAGTGGGAAAAATGAGAAGAATGTTGTTAAAACAATACTTTTTGTTCTACAAGTGAGAATTGATTTAAAAACTATAAAGAAGTTATGGCTTCTTGTGATGGTATCTTTTGGAAAGGTGCAGTGAATGATGAAATTGATTAATTTGTCGAAGAACATGAAAACTTATCGATTTACCACCCTAGTCTAAACCTATCTAATGTAAATGGATTTTTAGGGAAAAAAACATAATGTAGATAGTTCTCTTAATACCTTTAAAGCTAGATTAGTAGCTAAAAATTTTCGACAAAATGAAGGGATTGATTGTTTTGATAAATATGCATTGGTAGCTAGAAAAACATCAATTAGGATAACATCAATATATAACTTATTCAAGACCATGGTGTTAGGCAAAAGACGGGACCTCTTTTATTAATTATAAACAATCAAAAAGGATTTTGGGTCAGTCCTCACACGCTATGCCCACCCTCCCGTTCGCCGTATTGAACTTTCACATAATTTCCTACCGTTCCTTTTGATACAGTACACAAGAGTAGAACAGAAGAATTACAAGCGAGAGAGGGGGGGGGGGGGGGAGAGAGAGAGAGAGAGAGAGAGAGAGGAGATTTTGTATGTTATATTGAGTAAAAACTGTCCCTTAATATCATTATCAAATTGGGTTTAACTTCAGCAATGGCTTATAGTTGGAATCCGATTGAATTTTGTCACATGCTCAATTTTGGTTAGAGCCCCTTTGTCTCTCATTACGGGAGAAAATATAGAGTTTTTAATAATATTTTTTGGAGAATGTATTGTTAAAATTTAAAGAAATTTTATTGTTTTGTTTGTAAAATATTTTATTATGTAAATGTGTGATAGAGAATGTTACTGTAACAAACAATTTAATTTGTTAAAGGATGACAAATAGAGACTTAGTTTCAATTGGGTTTTTGTGTGAAGTTGTTACAAATAATGCTATTTAACTTCATCGGAGTTGCAACCTCAGTTTAAATGGTACTAAATGGTAAGTTAAATAAAATGTGGAATTAAATGCTACATTCGCATCATCTAAATTGGGGTTGCTAAGTTGCCTCTTGCAATAGCGGACAACCAACATTTTATCTCGTACGTGAAAGAATATCTTCAACCAAATTACATTGGGATAAGTCGAAACGCTTTTCGTTCAGACACGATAGAGTATTTTCTTCAGACAAAATAACAATTAATTTTGAATTTGCAAAAATATAGTGGTGTTATATCTTTAACTTCGAATATATAGGAGAGGGTTAATAATCACCCGTTTGGCCCCCATTATTGGATTTATAATGGAGTGAATAGGTTTTTTTTTTTTTTTTTTTTTTTTTTTTTTTTTTTTTTTTTTTTTTTTAAGATTGTGTGGTTGAAAAATTTTCGATTTGAGTGTAACATTATTTTATTGAAAATTGTATGGTTGAAAGTAACAAAGAGAAAAAATTAAATTAAATTAAAGAGTTTTAAAGGGGGTCAAATGGGGTATAAAAGAACTTATATAGCTGCAATTGCACACTACATAGACTCACTTTGGTGTATACATAAAAAAATTGTTGCTTTTAAAATTATTGAATTTCCACATGACGCTAATAATATATATAATACGACTATGGCTATTATTAAATAATATCGTTGCGAAAAGTAAAATTTGTTCTTTTACATTCGACAATGCTAGTGTTAATAAAGTAATTATCGATAAATTATATAGGGTATTGCAACCTGATTTCGGTAATTATTTGTTTCATATTCATTGTGCGTGTCATATTTTAAATTTAATTGTGTAAGATGGTTTGAAACACATTAAAAATGAAATACAAAGAATTAAGAATGCACTAATGTTTATCACGATCTCCCATAGTAGAAAACAAGCATTTGAAGAATTTTGTACCGAATATGGGGAGCAGAATTCTAAAACATTTGTTAGTGACGTAGGTCATAGATGGAATTCCATTTATTTATTATTAAAGTCATGTAAAGGTTTTGAACATTTAATAACTGAGTTTTACAATAATGGGCACATTAGAAACAATGATGACACTATTCTGAACGAATCCGATTGGCTTTTAGTTTTAAAGGTTAAAAGATTTTTGACAAATTTTTATGATAGTACAAATATTTTATCTGGAGTTTACTATCCCACTAGCTGTGTGGTGCTGGGACGTCTTTATATAATTGCAAGGACCTTTCATAAATATAAAAATGACCCTGATTTTAGTACAATTATATACTCTATGGAATTGAAGTTTAGAAAATACTGAGAAGACTTACCTATGCAGTCGCATACAAATGAAATATGCGGTCGCATAGTGTAAAAATTTGGCCGAATTTCAGGGTTCCTTATATGATTAAAACTCAATTTGGCAAGGATTTGGACGATATCTTTGACCTAGATTTGGGTCATATAAATACCATAACCCATACATATAGGAAAACCTTTATTATGCAACAAACAACTCAAGAAATTGAGAGAATCATATTGGAGAGGAGGTCAAACTCATCTTTTTGAGAGATTTCTACAAATGAATTGCAAGAAAACTATTGAGCATAATCCACACTAAAAAGATTGCACAAGGATTGGAAGAAAACTTCAAAAGATGTCAAGATTTCATCGAAGTCATTCAAGAATTCAAGATTTCTTATCAATTATTTAAATTCATGTTTATTAATTTTAGAATGTGTTCTTGTAATTTCAATATGCTTAACTAAATTTTATATTGCTAGGATGAAATGAGCCCTTGTTACGAGTTTTTTGGTTTGAATAATTGAACTGACATTAATTTACTTGAATGTTTGGATGTTTATCATTGTTTAGTTTGCTTTTTCAATTAACTGGTTGATAAGTGTAGTTTCTACACTTATTTGAGATTCGGGATTTTAAATGATGATATTTTGTTATTCTTTGAACGGATTAGTACCTGATTTGTTATTTATCGCTTTTTTTAGGAAAAGTTCATGTTTCAAAGAAGAATTGGAAAAAAAAAAGAACGAAAAATGGCTAAATGAAGCAAATCCAAAGTATGGGGACCAAAGTGTAAATATTTAATGGTTGATTTGGACCACAAAAGATACTTTGAAGATTGATAGGAGTCAATTGAATGCAAATTGGAGTCAAAAAAGAAAGAGATATGATTAGAATATTACCATAAATCGACTTCCAATTATATAGGATATCTTCAAGATTTTTGGTCAACTTGAGACCCATTTTTCGGATGGAGAATGTTTGAATTAGAAAAATTGTACTACTAGAAGAATTGTAGCTCTTTTAATTAGTTTTCCAATGCACTTTGAATCACCTGAATCGGACACCGAAAGAAAAAGTTACGACCAAAATATTGAAAGCTGTGCAGAAACAAAATTACGTGCGCACAAAGACAACTTTCCTTATTTGATTCAAATACTTTTGGAAGACAATTTGGACGTAAAATTTGACCTAATTTCATCATATAAATACAAGATATGGGTAGCAATGAAAGGGTCTCTCTCTTGCATCTTCATACACAATAGTTTCATCAAATCCATTAAGAACAGGGGGTCAATTACTATATTTTGAAAGAGGAGATCAAGCCATAGCAAGGAATTGAAGGTCAATTACATCAAGTTTTGAAGAATTCAACTTTGGACGTGAAGATCAACATCCTTTGTATTCTTTTATGATCCGGGTGATATTTTTCTATTATTCTTTTTGTAATTTATATATTAATATGTTAGGCTAGTTTTTCATTATATTGAATGAATGATGAATCCTGTCGTTTGTTTATTTTAATTCAAGACAATTAATTTAGTATTTCATGATTTTTTTCTTGATTGATTTTGCATTCCCATTGAACTATTTAATTGCTTGATCACCAATTAGATAGTAAGTTGCTTGTTGTAGTGTAGGAATACTCACAATAAGTCTAGAACGCAATAAAATCAACACATGAACAATAGGTGTTAGGAATAATATCTATGGCATGTGCATTCATGTATGATAAATCCTGTGAATCAATGCATGTTTTTCATATGAATTCGGACTAGGAATAGGATTGAGTCGTGTTAAACATAGGTTTAATATATTTTGGGAAAGAATATTGAATAAAAGTGAATTATCGAATGTCTTCAATGCATGAATTTACTAGATTATAAATTAAGAGTTGAATTAAATGGAAATAGAAGGATGCACGATTCTAATATAAATATTCACATGTTAAATAAATATTTTATTTGCTTTCTTCGTTTAAGATTAGCATAGAAAACATACAAATCACAACTTTTTTTATTTTATATTACTTCGAATTTAGTAAAAGCTATTTAACTAAATATTAGACTTTATTCCTTGTGGGAACGATATTCTTAACTCACAAATTTTATTACTTGTACAACGATCTCGTACGCTTACGGGTTTCACATGAACACTGGCTATTAGTTAAATTGTTTGTAGGTTTTATTATTATCGAGAAAGATAGTAGAATCATTGGCACATAGTGATAAACATAGTGAGATTCGATAGAGAATAGAAACATATTTCTATACTTATAGCTTGTTTAATGCTTTCTTGCACGTTCATGTCTTTCGTAGAAATATAGGAAGTTCACATGTAAGATTGTATTTAATTGCTATCGAGAGAGACTTTTAATTAAAATAGGAACATCACCAACAAGCATGATTTCGAATTTTCAATTTAAATTGTTGACCTAAAAATGGATTAGAAAGGGGAATTTGACATCTTAGCAATACTTTTACATATTTGAAAACCCCGTTAAATTGCTTTTTAGTTTAGTTGATAACTTAGGTTTTAATATAGAAAACTCAAAACTTGTTACTATTCTATTAAGATTATTATTAATTTGAACTCAATCAAATACTTAGTTCTCGTGAGTTCGACACTCTATACTCTACTATATTACTTGTTTACAACCCCGTCTACTTACAGGAAATCAAACAATCAGTTATTTTGAATAAAGTAACATTTTAAACTTTGTGAACATTATAGAATTAAAACGATTAGAACAGTTAAAATGGGTAAAATTTTAATGTTGCATTATGTTGACAATCACAACTCCCTTCGTGCAAATGGTACTTGATACGACATATGAAAGAAGAAACCTTCGACCAAAATAATAATAATATTGAATACAGTCAAGTCATTACTATTGAGTCCATTACACAACTACGTCATCTACCAAAGCCAAATGTTTCGTGTATGCCAATTCTATTATTAACTTTTCACTAACCATCGTCAATAACATTCTGAAGTAGATGAAACAGACTTTTGTCGAGACTGTTCCGCACAAAGTAGTGTATAATATAACTCCTTATTTGTCTCTCTTTAAAATAAAATTCTTTAATTCTTATACTCATTTTCAACCACACATTCACACAATAAAATCTATCACACGTAAACCCAAAATTTTCCCTACTTTTTAGCAGTAAATTCTCCAAAAAAATCATTATTCAAAATTTCATTTTTTCAAAATAGTGGCCATCGAACAGGGCTAAATAATATTTAATGTAAACTCAAATCTTTTTCTAATTCTTTAACTAAACATTTTTCAAAAAATCGTTACTTCAAAACATATTTTCCCCCCAAAATCTCTCTTTAATGGAGCCCAAACTGGGGATAAGTTTGATCACGGTTAGATGCAATCATGAAATTAAGACCAAAAATATAAATTGAACAATCAAAGTGAAACAAATTGAGATTCAATGACCAACATAAACTAATTCGCAAGTTGGATGGCCCTTATTGAAATCCCCCATTTGAACTTTAAGGTATATTGGCCCAGCATGAATATCTAAAAAAAAAAAGAAGGAAAAAAAATTCCCTTTTCCCGCATTTATTTTAACCATGCCTTCTTTAAAAAAGTTATTGTCACGCTTTTCCATATCAGAAGTAAAGACAAACTCTATTATCTTGTTATAATGTTATTATAATTGGATAAATTTATTATGAACCTTTGATGTACAAAATTTAGTCCACTAGCTAAGCATTAACAAGACAATTCCTCCTTATCATGTCTAATTCGCGACAATTTTTAACTGTTGTCCTATTTACTATTCAGCATTGAAGTGCATTGTCAACTAAATTGTATTGCTAAATCAAACAACGTGTTACGAGTATACCTTGGTCGATTTGTTTTAACGGTTATGCTATGGGTACAAATAGGTGTCCAAAATGGACACCCGACGCCTCGGCCATGCTATGGGTAGGCTCCGGGTGTCCATTTTGGACACCTTTGTGTACCACAAGCATTATTCTTGTTTTAATAGTCAGCGATAGAAATAACAAGAATGATGGGTAAATTAACTTAAAGATACAAAGAAGTTCGTGAAAAGTAAGATGGAGATTAACTTTATATAATCAAGGGGTGAAATGCTTTACCGTTGACATTGGAAAGTTATTCACTAAGGATCCATTTGATAGCATTAAATTCCCTGAAAAATATTACAATCGAAGAATTCGTTTTCTACTTTGACTGTTTGATAGGAAAGTGAAATAGAGTTCGAATTTCAAGGTACAAACACTTCACGTTCTTGACCAATTGAGTGGAAATCGAATTTCTATGGTTTTGGTTGTTTTTTCTTTTTAAACTTACATAGAATTGATTTGTCTTTTCCACCTTTGCTATTAAATGGACACTAAAAGAAAAGAAAAGAAAACCTGGAAAATTTACATTTGAAAGTATGTTACATAAAGTGTGCAACAAATCCAACTCTGCCATCAACAAANACAAAGCTGGTAACGGTTTAGGCAATGAGCTCTTTTCAGCTAATCCTAGGCTGCCGAGTTTCTTCGGCTGATATCCTCTAACATACTCACTACCTCTGACATTTTTGGTCTATGCTTGGGAACACTTTCAACACAATACAACGCTATCTGCAAAACCTCCACCATTGCTTTCTCTATATTTTGATACCTCAACAACTCGATATCGAACACTTCTGCAGTCCAATCCTCACGAACAACAGAAGCAACCCACCTCACTAGCTGACTGGCCTTTTCATTATCTTCATAAAGTATAGTTGGCTTTCCAGTATGAAGTTCGAGAAGCACGACGCCGAAGCTATAGACATCAGAAGCTTGGGACAATTTCTTGGTATCCACGACTTCTGGGGCGCGATACCCTGATGAACGACTATGTAGCACCGAGGTTGTACTAACTAATGTTGCCAATCCGACATCTGAAACACAGCCATATCCTTGAGCAGTAAGAAAATATTTTGAGGTTTTTACATTTCCATGTACAAGATTCTGGCCAACTTGTGAGTGGATGTGAGCAATACCCCTTGCTGCCCCTACTGCAATTCTTAGTCGAGTTTCCCAATCTAAAGAAATTTTACCCTTGCCAAATTGTCCTGCAAAGACGATAAAATTCTTAAGATTAGAATCACCTGCAAAATTATTATCTACAAAGGGTTGCAATTGTATTGCAACGGAATGAGCTTATAGTTAACATTGTGTGCTAGAATCGTATGACGTTTTTTTAACTACGACTGTTGTGAAGATACGAAACGAGCTCCAGATTGATTCCTTAAAGAATTGACTTGGAGTCACACATGTTAAAATAACTACTGATTTCCCTGATATCATCCAACATTATCCATCTTGAAGAATACAAATAAGCATTTTACAAGTGACATAGTATAGTATCAAGGGGAAGTAAGATATTTTACTTACCATGTAGCATGGAAGATACACTCCCCGCACCATAATAATCATACACCACAAGCTTATAATCACGCGAGTAGTAGTATGCCATTAATGTAGCAACACTTTCGTTCTTCATTCTTCCAATGACCTCCATTTGTTGCTGAAATTCTTTACTCGTAACGATAACATCCTTCAATGTCTTTACCACAATTGTAATTCCATTATCTAATGTTGCCTCATATGAAGTCCCAAATGTTCCCTTCCCGAGAACCTCTGCAGAAGCCCGCAACAAATCTTCAAGGCCAAAATCAAGATTACGACCCTCATTAAATACAAGCTTCGGTTGTAGTTGATTTCTTTCATATGACTTAGTAATGTCCTCCATCATCTTCCAAATGACCTCCATCATCTTCACTACTTGGTCCATTTTAGGTCTTTTACTTGGGTTTTTTGCAACACAACTCATCGCTATTTCCAACATCTTTACCCTTTGTTCCTTGTTACGGTTTCTCGAGATCTCCACATCAAACACATCAGCAGTTCGCTCCTTACCATTGAGAGAATTAACCAATTTGACTAGATCGAGAACCTCATTGTCACCTATGGCGTGTAAAGGGGACTTTCGAGTGAGAAGTTCAAGCACAAGGATTCCAAAGCTATATACGTCAGACGCTTGGGACACATTTCGGGTGTTCTTGACTTCTGGGGCATGGTGCCCAGCAGTTCGCATGACTGGTAATTGAATCATGCTTGCCAAGCCAAGATCAGACACACAGCCATACTGTTGTGAATTAAGGAAAATGTTTGATGATTTTATGTTTCCATGGACAAGCTTCCCACTACTTTGCTTGTGAATGTGTGCTATACCCTTTGCTGCACCCAATGCAATTCTCAGTCGCGTTTCCCAGTCTAATGGAGCCCGATTCTTGCCATTTTTTCCTGGTTAGATGAGAAAATGCAATCAATTGTATAGTAAAATTTTCATATTTCTTTACTGTAAGCAAATATATTGATTGAGGCTTGTGAGGCAGCTCGTTGCCACCACTGCGAAGAATACATTATTTAATTTAGAATAATAAAAGATTTGTCAAGTTTCTCCCATATATAACAGAGAAATTTTTCTGAAAGACCCAAGATTTATTCATTCTCTATAATACTATATCTTTTATGTGAATAGGGTTCTTGAAAATCAATAAATTCATCAAAATTGAACGATAAAATTCTTCTATCGTCTCTCCTCCTCCTCCTCTGCAATTCCACATTACATAATCAACTAATAACACAAGAATTTGGATCCTCCTCTGCACTGTGAACATGGTAGTAGTGTATGAAATAAGGATTGTAATTCATGTAAAGCTTGACAAATTCTGCAATTCGTTTTTCTTCATCCTCCTTTTTATCATCACCTTTATTGGCATCATCCTTCTTTCCTTCTTCTTTTTTCTTTTCAGGTTCTTTTGCTGGACCAACCGTTAGAATTTCTGTGTACCATGATTTGCTCAATTTGCTCACAACTTGAACTGGATCAAAACCTCCAACTACTGTTAATTTCTTCTCCTTCATGTCTATAGCCAGAGATTCGATCCCTATATGAGAACAAATTAGCAGAGACGATTAAGATCATTCGACTGACACATTGAATGGGCACTATAATGGACAAAATTTTAACTTTTTCTCGTATTTAATACTGACCTCCAAGGCGAGAAACTGCTTTCATGGCCTTCCGTTTCTCCTTCTCATCATGTACTTCTACTTTTATGACTAGTTTCTGCAGCAAGAAATAAAAAAGGCCATCAAAATGTGAAGAATTTATAATCAGAGAAGAAAAAGCTCAAAACCCTGAACAAATACCAGCTTAGAAACCTCCTTTTCGGCAGATTTTTCTTTCTTTTGCAAGTTTTCAACTGCGGATGGAGGTAGCTGCTGATACGAAGATGAACTTCGAGGGCTTGAAAAATCAAAAGGCACATCAAGGACTTGAGAATCCAAACTGCAATCAGATGGTATAGAGCTGACACTTGGGCTCTGATCATGAAACATTCGCCATAGTTCCTCTCTCCGGATCACAGCTCCCACCAATCTCTCCCAGTGGTCGTAGACGTTCGACATCTCTCTTCAACGTAAAAATTCTCTTTGTAGGTCAATCAAAATAAAAATTGCTGAATACTTACCGCGTATCCCAATATTCCCTCAGTACTGATATTGACATTGCTGGGCCTTTCGTTAATTCTTAAAAAATTATATTCCAATGGCTCATACGCGCATTGGCGTCAGAAAATGGTGGATAAATGGACGAATCTTCCAGGTAATTACTATTCAGCAATGAAATAGCAACTTTCACACGGCAGAAGTAACATAGACATTTTCATCTAGTCCGTTAGCCCGTTAGCTCTCTATTAAAATCAGGTTTTGATACCCTCCATGTGATTTTAGAATGGATAATTAAGTTTGGTCTCAATTAAAATCAATTTTTTATACTTTCCATGAGATTTTAGAATAGAAAATTTCTTGCAGGGAATCTATCGTTGCAGCATTCTACATCCCAAGGTAAAATAGTTTATTTTCAAAATGTACCATCCCTTGCCTTCTTCAAAGACAAAACTACCCCTGATTGGAATTATTATTATTATTATTATTTTTTTGGGGTGCGTGGGGTGGATGGGATCCTTACAAATGTCGGAAAAGACACAAATTAATTGATAGGTCTTGCAGTGACAACATTCAACAAAACATACTTAATTGCACAAGAGCCCATATAATTCATAGTAGGACCGATTTTTTCATCCAAAATCGTAATCAGTAATTATGTTCTTACAAAAAAAACCTATTCTTGAGTTAGAAGCACAAATAAACTATGAGCTGAATAAATAGTTCCTCATCCTCGCATTATCAAACCGTAATTTTCATGTACGCCAATATTGATCAACAATATACAAAGTAATTAAAAATATAAACTGACCGAACATTATAATATACAAATATTCTAACTTAATTTCGTTAGATTACCCAAGAGGATATAAATGAACGAAATAGGACAACATTTTCAAATATGAATGTGACAAAAAAGATCATGATAAACTAATAAATCAATTAAACAATTTGGCCAACTATTTCCTAATTAAAATACTAGAGAATATAAAGCTGTTAAATAGAAAACAAGATCAGGGAAAAGAAAACTATATCACATAAAATAATTTCAATAAATAAATATCCATTTGTGAAACTGAATAGGATCCAATCTAAGCCCCATATGGTGTTAAATTTGGGGTCGAACCTGAAGACTTTGTTTCATATGATGGCTATTGCCCGTATTGACACTTCTGATATCCTCAACCATTTTTACTACCTCGATCATTTTTGGTCTCTGTTCCAGCATTCTCGTAAAATAACTCGTACCTATTTGCAGCATTGCTACCATTTCTTCCTCTATATTAGGATACCTCAAGAGCTTGAAGTCAAATACTTCATAAAAGGGCTAATTGGTAAGAAAGATGGAGTGCAGCCTGTAGAGCACATGTGAGGCACAGTCGGATTTCTCATGCAACGGATCCACAGTCCATTTCTCACATTCAAAAGAATGAACCCACTGGACCAAGTTTATAACCTCGTCCTCGTCACTGCCCATGGCGTGGACAGGTGACTTTCTAGTGAGAAGTTCAAAGAGGACGCCATAACTGTAGACGTCTGATGCTTGGGACACCTTTCTTGTGTCTGATACTTCTAGCGAGCGATTTGCTACCGTTAGCAATTCTAGTGGTGTGATGGGACTCATCAATGTTGCCAACCCAAGATCGGAAAGAGAACATTATTTTTTGTTAGTTCAGGGATACGTACATTTGATGCTTTATTTTTCTAGTGATTTTAATTCATTTTGTGAATATCAATGTTTAATATATCAATGTTCTTTATCTAAGACACCAAACAAAATAGTTTACACGAAAGAAAAAGTAGGACATGAGTAGAAATGATAAATGCAATGTTAATTTACTCTCTAAGTTACCATTTAACTTGTGAGGTAAAGCATTATTGAGTGCAAGTAGAGTGTTAAATAGAATTCCTTCAAAATCTACAAAAGTTTCTTCTTATGAATTGTGGAAGAGAAGAAAACCAAATATTGGATACTTCAATGTGTGGGGAAATCTTGCTTATTGTAAGAACACAAACCCTAAAAGGATCAAGTCGGGTCCAAGAGACATCAAATGCTCCTTTGTTGGATATGCTTGTAATAACAAGTCCCACAGATTACAGAATTTGGAAACCAATGTAACAATCGAATCAAATGATGTGGATTTTTATTTTTTTGAAAATTCACTATCTTCAATAACAAATTAAGAAAAACTCATAAAGAGATTTCTAACTCTAGTAGAACACAAGAGGAAGCATATCTTAAAGATGTTGATAAATCTGGTAAATCTCGAAAAAGCAAAAGAATTCAAAAAGAAAAGACATCGGGATCGTAGTGGGAAAAATGAGAAGAATGTTGTTAAAACAATACTTTTTGTTCTACAAGCGAGAATTGATTCAAGAACTATAAAGAAGTTATGGCTTTTTGTGATGGTATCTTTTGGAAAGATGCAATGAATGATGAAATTGATTAATATGTCAAACAACATGAAAACTTATCAATTTACCACTGGAGTCTAAACCTATTGAATGTAAATGGATTTTTAGGAAAAAAAAACATAATGTAGATAGTTCTCTTAATACCTTTAAAGCTAAATTAGTAGCTAAAAATTATCGACAAAATTAAGGGATTGATTGTTTTGATAAATATGCATTGGTAGCTAGAAAAACATCAATTAGGATAACATCAATATATAACTTATTCAAGATCATGGTGTTAGGTAAAAGACGGGTGGACCTCTTTTATTAATTATAAATATTCAAAAAGGATTTTGGGTCAGTCCTCCCACGCTATGCCCACCCTCCCGTCCGTCGTATTGAACTTTCACATAATTTCCTACCGTTCCTTTTGATACAATACACAAGAGTAGAACAGAAGAATTACTAGAGAGAGAGAGAGAGAGAGAGAGAGAGAGAGAGAGAGAGAGAGAGAGAGANAAAAAAAGAGAGAGAGAGAGAGAGAGAGAGAGAGAGAGAGAGAGAGAGAGAGGAGGTTTTGTATGTTATATTGAGTAAAAACTGGCCCTAAGTATCATTATCAAATTGGGTTTTCAGCAATGGCTTATAGTTGGAATCCAATTGAATTTTGTCAAGAGCCCATCTTTCTCCCATTACGAGAGAAAATATAGAGTTTTGAATAGTATTTTTTTGGAGAATGTGTAGTGAAATTTAGAAGAACTTTATTGTCTTGTGTGTAAAATATTTTATTGTATGAATGTGTGGTAGAGAATGTTATTGTGACAAATAATTTAATTTGTTAAAGGATGACAAATAGAGATTGAGTTTCAATTGGGTTTCCGTGTGAAGTTGTTACAAGTAATGCTATTTAATTTCATCGTAGTTGCAACCCCGATTAAATGGTACTAAATGATAAGTAAAATAAAATATGAAATGAAATGCTATATCAGCTTCACCTAAATTGGGTTTGCAATCTGGGGCTACATAATATTATTTGAATTAACAGGTTTGGTAGAGGCCCTCCTCTCACATTCTTTCATCTCTATGGGTCCTCCATTGTTAAAAAAATACACACGTCACCCCACCCCCAATGTGAAATGAAGTGCTCTACAGCCTGGTAGAGCAACACGGTCCATATTACTTTGTATATTTTAACATAAAAGGAGTCAAAAAAATACGGCCGAATGTGGAAAATTGAACACTGCTTTATAGTTCTTTTGGTGTAATGTCAACTCCCACTGTAAATTATAAGTCTCCACTTAACCCTGTTTCTCAAAAATTATCTCTTTCTAAAATTATTTTTCATCACATATTTATATGATTTACAACTTTTATTAAATTTTCAACAATTTTTATTAAAGTTTATTAAAAATTTTATTATTTTATCATTTTATGTCAAAGAACACTATATTATTTTGAAGTAATTATTTCTAATGAAGGTTATTAATTTAAACTTCTAATAACAAAAACTATACTCCGAGAGGATACCAATAGCGAGTGACTGTTGCCAAAATTGGAGACGCGTTTGGTGTATATTTGCAGTTGGACACGACATGATTAAGGGAAAGAGACATAATAAAGTTAAAGTAATTGTGCCAATTATTCTCAAGTTCGAGGCACAAATATATATGAGCGAAATAAATAGTTCCTCACCTCCAAATTTGTCATGTTTGCCGTTGACTATGAACCAGTCATTAATCAGTAACATTCATCAGAATGACTGAACAAAATCTATGAAATTATAACTTACTTTCCTTCAACGTACCCAACAAGTTATAAATGAACAACGTAGGGCAACAATTTCAAGTGAACTACTAAATCAACTAAACAATTTGACCAATAATTTCGTAGTGAATATGTACTAGAGACTACAACGATGTTAAAAATGAGAACAAGATCAGGGAAAAGAAAGGAATGCCCCTGTTTGGGCTCCATTATAATGTATTTTTGGAGAAAATGTATTTTAAAATAGTGATTTTTTAAAAAAAGAAAAAATTAAGAATATGTGGTTAAAATAGAAAAAAAAATGTTTTGAGTTTATGTGTATATTATTTTATTGGAGAATGTGTGATTAAAAATGGAAGATAGAACTAGATGAAGATACAATCTGAGCTCTCCCTAGACGGTGTTCAATTTGGTGTCAAACCTGAAGCTTTTGTTTCGGAGGATGATTGTTGCGTAATTCTTATTGTATGTGAAGAATTTTGATTATCAAGTAATGAAGTGGTTTTGAGAATTCAAATTATTGTTTCCACGAATATTATCTATCTAACTTTTAGTTTAACAATAAACTACTCTTAAACTTTTATCCAAGTAAAACTAGTACAAAGTCATTTTAATTATGATCCTAATTACAAATATACAAAGACAAGTAAATGTACACAAGATAAAATTAGAGTTTTTACTTATGTAGGAAAAGTGTTGGGACTCACTATTTCAATGTGATCATTCCCTATAATCTCGCCTCCCTAATTTGATTCCTAAAGTTGTATACGATCTAATTTACTATTTTAATCGATTTATCTCTCCGAGTTCAAATTAATCATATTTGTTTGAGTAAAGTCACTATATCTCTATGTGAATCAGAATCAAGTTTCAATTAAACACATCAAATCACATAGTAATTCAATTAATGACTTCAATATTAATAAAAATGCACCTCTACTTTCATCCTGAAAAGCTAATTACTAAATAAGTTTGACCTTATGTGTGGAATCATGCAATTAAAAGAAACAAGTCACTTTTTAATTATTTCTAAATGGTTAATCAAACAGTTCAATTTATCCTATGATTTAATTGTTTCTAAATGGTTAATCAAACAACCTCGAGCGAGAGCTCAGTGATAGATGGGTGATGGTTTGTTGCTCGAGTGATAGTTCAGCAACATGCGGGCAACAGAATTTTTGTTTTTGCCGCTCGAGCACTAGTTTAGCGATAGGCTAGTGTAAATCTGATAGCTCTTTCCTCTTGCTCCAAACTCGAATCTTAGGTCACCTACTTCAACTATACAATATTTCCACCAACTCCTTGACTTTTACAACTCTTTAATTTAAGTCCTTTTTGTCTAAAGAATTTCCAACACATTAAATCCTAACAAACTCCCCCTTTGGCATTTTGTGAAAAAATTACATAATGCAAGTCAAGAAAGTAAAAATAAAACTATTCTACCCAAGCTCAAACTGAATGCCTGTTTCTTACATTCCTTGTTAAATTTGTTTCCTAAAATCAACAACTCAAATTTCAAGTGTAAAAGCTCATGATACAAGAAATAAAACAATTGAAACACGTAATAATAAATATGCTAGCTAGATTGAGACATAATACTGATATTAATCAAAACACCAACAGAAAGATTATTATCACTAAACATCAAAACTCAAACAACTATGCATTATGAAATGGAATGCTAATGCCATGGATGAAAGATATCATCTCTCCCTCTTACTGCAGACTCTCATCTTCAATTCATTTCTCTCTCCCTTAAAATACATATTTCTCTCTTCCAAAAATGCAGTTCTCTCTCCCCCTTTTGTCACAAATGGCGAAGGAAACAATACCAAAAAAATATAGTAACTTAAAGATGCAGTTGATAGCTTGCACAAGCATAAATAATGATTAGTAAATTTTTCCACATACTTAGTTCAAGATAATATGGAGTAAATTGTATAAATGACTCATCTGTGTAAAGTGTTACTAATCCTTTGTAAGCAGGACTCCAATCTTAATTTTGTGATAAATAACATGCTAAACATCACTGTCAATAAGTCAATTTTGTGCGAGCTTTAGGATGGTCAACCCAAGTCAGTTGACCATAGACACTAGGTTATGAGAAACCTCTTAGACTTAATTGTTCAAGTCAAATAGACTCCGAAAAAAGAGTATAAGAAATTGAGCATTTTCTTACAAGGGAATATACTTGAGTTTAGGTATACTATAATAAGGTCAATTCATGTTTAAGATCACCTTAGCAATATGTGACTACCATCACAAATCTCACACACGAGGTCAAGTCTCACTCACAATATCATAGTGTGTGCAATGCAGATGGTACATGAAGACACATATACTAAGTACTCGATAAAAACCTAAGCAGGCAATGAAAAATATGCTACAGTTTATCAATTAAAACCATATTTAGTCACAATACACAAGTTCAAGTATATCATACATCATGCTGCAATAAAAAAATAAAAAAAATTCACTTCCCCTTTTTTACATTTTTCAAATTTTTAATTTTTTTAATACTAGAATGTGCCAATCACACACACACACACCCAAAAAAAAAAAAAAAAGTGCATGTGCCAATGAAAACATGATGAAGATGCATATGCATAAAACTTCTACTTTGAAAGCAAATAAACAAATGTGATACATGCATCAATGACTCATAAAGATTAAGTACAAGCATGCATAAAAAATACCTAATCAGTTAGGTATATAAACACTTTTACCTTTAAGAGTATCGTGATTTTAGATCGCTTTTCTTCACCCAAACCTGCCCAGTGATAGGAATATTCTCAATCATCTGCGTCATTAACTTGATCAATCGACTTACCTGATTAGTAAGGAAGCCCATCTGACCACCAAACTCCTAATTCTTATTTCCATTGAAGTTTCTGTTTCTATTTAAGTTTAGGAATTTATGACACCTAGGTCTTATGTTCCCTAACTCTCCATAATAAAAACATGTATGGATAAATCAAGGACCAAAGTTATGTGATCGTTGATTTTTATTCCTAGGTTGGTAAGTCCCACGCTGTTTAGTAGGCATCTGTCCTACAAATCCCCTATTCTTAGATTCAGGGTTAGGCACATGTTTAGGCTAGTCGGTAGCTGCGACAAACGTGGTCTTCTCTCTAAAATACGGGGAATTTCACCTTTGCTTCTTGATAAATTGTGTGATATGATGAGTTAAGAGAGGCTAGATAGAGATCCTTTGAATGTTAGCCCTTGTTTTTTTATCTATAGGTAACAAAATTAGGTCAAGAAATGCCCCAAAATTGGTTTCCACAAGAGTTTGTATTAAAGAAGGAATCGGCTACCATATGGCTGTGCATGTGCATGGCTATATGCTTTGCCCACACATGGTAGAAAGAAATTACTCTTGAGATGCTAAAAATCAAGTCTTGTTTGCGCAAGGATGTTACACAATGAGCACGCATGGTATTTTTTGGTCATTTTTTCATGTAATTTTCACCCTTGACTTCAAATCTCATCCAACTGATCCTATGTATTCTTCAATCATTGTTTTGTAGTTCAAATCAACTATTGAATATTTACAATTTGATCCACAAACTTTGAAAATAATCATTTTGGCTGATTTTCGTTCCTTTCTTCTAATTTCACATTCAATCATTCGGTTTTTCCTAACAAACGAAATATATACGAGATTATTCCATAATTAGTCAAAAGAGATTCTAAATGTCCATATTCAAAGGCCTATATAAGAACATTTATTTCAATTAAAATGTAGTTCAAGTAACAAAAAATGTGGTATGAATATAATTACGCATAGTTTTAATGTTTTACATCTTTAGCATGTGCCAATATATGGATCATTGTTAAGTATATAATATGTTAGAATTTATCATATATTAACAATCATTATTTTAAATTAATGTTTAAGATCTAAATTAATTATTTTAAGTAAAGTAACTTTTTAAACTTTGGTGAACATTGTAGAATTAAAACGATTAGAGCTGTTAAAATGATTAAAATTTTAATGCTTCTTTATGTTGACAATCACACAACTCCTTTCGTCCAATGGTATTTGATATGACATATAAAAGAAGAAACCCTCGACAAAATTAATATACACACACATATATATTAGTAAATGAACTAGACTGTTGACTAGACTATGTTCCGCCCAAAGTAGTGTATAATATAGGTCCTTGTTTGTATCTCTTTAAAATAAAATTCTTTAATTCTTATACTCATTTTCAATCACATATTTACACAATAAAATCTATTATACGGAAACCCAAAATTTTTCCCACTTTTTAACTAAAAAATTCTCCAAAAAAAAAAAATCATTATTTAAAACTTTATTTTTCTCAAAATAATGGCCATCGAACAAGGCTAAATAATATTACATGTAAGTTCAAAACTTTTTCTTATTTTTTAACCACATATTTTCTAAAAAATTATTATTTCAAAATATATTTTCTCCCAAAATCTCTTTTAAATGGAGCCCAAACATGGGCTAAGTTTGATCACGGTTAGATGCAATCATGAAATTAAGACCAAAATGTAAATTGAACAACCAAAATGAAACAAATTGAGATTCAATGACCAACATAAACTAATGTACAAGTTGGATGACCTATAAGTGAAATCTGCCCTTTAAACTTTAAAGTACATTGGCTCAGCATGAACACGGAATCCAATTGAACACGATATTATTCTACGTTTTAAAAGTTAATTATTGGGTTTGTGGGGGGGGGGGGGGGGGGGGGGGGGGGGGGGGGGGGGGGGGGGAGCCCCTATTTTCGGGCATTCATTTTAACTATACTTTCTTTAAAAAAGTCATTTTCGCGCTTTTCTATATCAGAAGTAAGGACAACTCTATTATCTTGTTATAATCTTATTATAATTTGATTAATTTATTATGATACTTTGAGGTACAAAACTTAGCCCACTTGCTAAACATTAACAATACAATTCCTCCTTATCATGTCTAATACGTGATAAATTTTAACTGTTGTCTGTTGTTCTATTTACTATTCAGTATTGAAGTGCATTGTCAACTAAATTCTATTGCTAAATCAAACATGTTACAAGTATACCTAGGCCAATTTGTTTTAATAGTTAGCGAAAGAAACTACACGAATGATGGAATAATTAACTTAAGGGTAAAGATACTTGTACAGTTTAGCTCGGACTATACAAGTACAATCCCCTCACATGAGGGGACCCGAGCCTTGAGGGACCTGTTAGTCTTGCTACTGCAAGCACGGTCCTTAAGTTCAAGATACAACGAAGTTTATGAAAAGTAAGATGGAGATTAACTTTATATAATCAAGAGGTGAAATGCTTTACTGCAGACATTGTAAAGTTATTCACTAAAAAAAAAAAAAAAAAAACAACCTGGAAAAATTCATTTGAAATTAATTTCCATAAAGAGAATGCAACACAAAAGAAGACAACTCTGCCATCAACAAAGCTAGGAGAGGTTTAGGCAATGAGCTTTTTTCAGCTAATCTTAGGCTCCCGAGTACGTCCCACCAATATCCTCCAGCATTCTTACTACCTCTAACATTTTTGGTCTATGCTCGGGAACACTTTTAACGCAATCCAACGCTATCTGCAAAACCTTCATCATTGCTTCCCCGATATTTTGATACTTAAACAACTCGATATCAAACAATTCTGCACTCCATTTCTCACGAACAATAGAAGCAACCCACATGACTAGCTGATTGGCCTTTTCATTATCTTCAGAAAGTATAGTTGGCTTTCCAGTAAGAAGTTTGAGAAGCACTACTCCAAAGCTGTAGACATCAGAAGCTTGGGACAATTTCTTAGTGTCTGTGACTTCTGGGGCGCGATACCCTGAAGAACGACTATGTAGCACCGAGGTTGTACTAACTAATGTTGCCAATCCGACATCTGAAACACAGCCATATCCTTGAGCAGTAAGAAAAATGTTCGAGGTTTTTACATTTCCATGGACAAGATTCTGGCCAAGTTGTGTGTGGATGTGAGCAATACCCCTTGCTGCCCCTACTGCAATTCTTAATCGAGTTTCCCAATCTAAACAAATTTTACTCTTGCCAAATTGTCCTGCAAAGACGATAAGATTCTTGAGATTAGAATCACCTGCAAAAATTATTATCTACAGAGCTAGTTAACATTGTGTGCTAGAATCGCATGGCGTTTTTTAACTACAGCTGTTGCCAAGATGCAAAAATGAGCTTCAGATTAATTCCTTAAAGAATTGACCTGGAGCCACTAAATGTTAAAATAACTAATGAGTTCCCTGAATTCATCCAACATTATCCTTCTTGAAGAATACAAATAAGTATATATTACAAGTGACATAGTATAGCAATCCATACCTAAGATTTCAATCCAGATTACAAGTGAACGGGATAACAATGTAACTGAAAGAAAAAGTTTTTGTAATCTAGTGATAAATGAAATCAAATGAGTGATATAGCTCTTGTCCATATGTCATTAGTATGTCTAATTACTCTTTACAGAGCTGAGTACCACAAGAAAAACTGATTTAAAATTAATGTAGCAGTCATGAGATTACATAGTTTACTTACCATGTAGCATGGAAGATACACTTCCCGCACCATAATAATCATACACCATAAGCTTTTCATCACGCCAGTAGTAGTATGCCATTAATGTAGCAACACTTTTGCTCCTCTTTCGTCCAATGACCTCCATTTGTTTCTGAAATTCTTCTCTCGTAACAATGACACCCTTCAATATCTTTATCACAATTGTAATTCCATTATCTAGTGTTGCCTTGTATGAAGTCCCAAATGTTCCCTTCCCAAGAACCTCTGCAGAAGCCTGCAATATATCCTCAAGGCCAAAATCAGGATTATGACTCTCAAAAAATACAAGCTTTGGTTGTAGTTGATTACTAGTAATGTCTTCCATCATCTTCACTACTAGGTCCATTTTAGGTCTTTTCATTGGGTTTTTTGCAACACAACTCATCACTATTTCCAACATCTTTGCCCTTTGTTTCCTGTTACGGTTTCTTGAGATCTCCACATCAAACACATCAGCAGTTCGCTCCTTACCAATGAGAGAATTAACCAATTCGACTAGATCGAGAACCTCATTGTCACCTATGGCGTGTAAAGGGGACTTTCGAGTGAGAAGTTCAAGCACAAGGATTCCAAAGCTATAGACGTCAGATGCTTGAGACACATTTCGGGTGTTCTTGACTTCTGGGGCATGGTGCCCTGTAGTTCGCATGACTGGTAATTGAATCATGCTTGCCAAGCCAAGATCAGACACACAGCCATACTGTTGTGAATTAAGGAATATGTTTGATGATTTTACGTTTCCATGGACAAGCTTCCCACTACTTTGCTTGTGAATGTGTGCAATACCCCTTGCTGCACCCAATGCAATTCTCAGTCGTGTTTCCCAGTCTAATGGAGCCCGATTCTCGCCTATTTTTCCTGGTCAGATGAGAAAATGCAATCAATTGTATAGTAAAATTTCCATATTTCCTTACTGTAAACCAATATATTGATTGAGGCTTGGATGTAGTACGTGTTAAATGTTGCAATTCCATGATTTCTTCAAGCTGGTGTAATACCGTAATCCCATGGTTCTCTCCCACTACCATTCAGGGCCCAAGATTTACTCGTGAAGATTGATGTAATTATTAATTAAGTTAATTGTATGTTAAGAAATATAACTTTCCTAGATTAGGGATATACATTGGCTATTTATCCCCATTAGTTTCTGTAATATTTTACATAGAAAAGAAACATTTTCTCTAATTTACTTCTTGGTATCAGAGCCTTCCTTTACATCCAAACCACGCTACATAAACTGTCTGAAATTATTTTTATGGCTGCTGATAAAATCGAAGTCACTATGCCAGCCGAAACTTCTAATAAAACGAAGCCTCTATGCCATTCATGTCCAATCTGAATCTTCTGGCTTCCATGCTGGAATTACTCTTACCGAAACCAACTATGATGTTTGGTCCCAGATCTTTGAGATGCAGATTGCAAGCCATGAAAAGCTGGAATATATTGTGAGCAAAACTAGCCCCACGAAGGAGACCAACACTTCTTATGCGAAGTGGTATGCCGAAAATCAAAAAATTAAAGGCTGGCTACTGACCTCTGTGTCGCCAGAGTTTATGAAATACTATATTAGACTACGAACTGACCGTGAAATCTTGACTGCTCTTGCCAAAGCATTCTATGATGGGTCGGATGAATCACAAATCTTTACACTGAATCAACAAGTCTTTTCTACCAAACAGGGTGGATGTTCCCTCTCCATCTATTACGGTAAGCTCGTAGAAATTTTTCAAGAACTAGATTACCGTGATAAAATTATTATGAACGATCCTGATGATGTTATTGCCTATAAAAAATCTATTAAACGATTATGTGTACACATCTTCCTTAATGGGCTCGATGCAGACTTTGAACAAATCCGTGGTGAGATATTGAGAAAGGACCCAGTCATGGATCTTGAAGCTACCTATGGATACGTCCATCATGATGCTGTTCGCCGTACAACCATCAATGGAGATTCTAATTCTCAGGAGTCCTCAGCCATGTTGGCTCGTCGACACAAGCCCCAACAACAACAGTCTCACCTAAAATTGAATTCTAGCTCATTGAACCTTGTTACTAATCTATTCGATCCCAGAAAAGCAATTATGAAATTGGTGCTGCTAAATCAGATAGACATTGTACTCACTATGGTTACACCAGCCATTCTAAACCCCAATGTTACAAATTGATCGGATACCTAGATTGGTGGGATCCTACAAAGGCACCATGCAAGTGAAATTCACTAACCAACCGTCAGGCCTCTATCGCCAGAGCTGAACCTGTAAACACCTCTCCTGAGAAAGCTTCCTCTCTAATTGCTACTTCAGGTAATATTGGTAAGGTCCTTCATACTTCTGCACCTAGTAAGTAATAATTCATGGATAATTGATTCTGGTGCAACTGATCACATGACTATTGACACTCACAATATTTACTCTATAAAACAATCAATACATCCTGTAGTATCTACTGCCAATGGTAATTCATCTCCAGTGATTGGAGAAGGCTCACTTAATCTTTCAAACAAATTGAATTTGGATTCAGTTCTTGTCGTTCCTTCCCTCAACCATAACTTGTTGTCTATTGCTCAAATAACTTGTGCTATACATTGTGTTGTAATTTTTTGGTCTAATCGCTGTGTTTTGAAGGACATCAACTCTCAGGAGACTATTGATTATGGTACTAGGAAGAGGAAGTTCTATTATCTTGATCTATCACTGGCTAGCTCCAATCAGTTGGCTCAAGTTTTCACAGTGGATCACTCTGACAAGACCTTAGATATTTGTTTGTGACATAGGCGCCTAGGTCATGCATCTTTTGGATATTTAAAAAAATTATTTCCAAAGTTATTTTCTCAATTTAATACTTCGGATTTCAATTGTGATATTTGTGAACTGGCAAAAAGTCATCGTGTGTCATTTCCAATAAGTACGAATAAGAGTCCCCTACCATTTATGGTAATCCACACGGATGTATAGGGCGTGGCCAATAATCCTTCATTAAGTGGTGCACATTGGTTTGTTTCATTTATTGATGATCACACTTGTGTGACTTGGGTTTGTTTGATGAAATTCAAACATGAAGTTAGTTAACTATTTCAAAAATTTCACAAAATGACAGCCACTCGTATCAATCTCGAATACAGGTCTTCGTACCGATGATGGTGAAGAATTTGTTAATCAAGATTTGAAACAGTATTTATAGATACATGGAATAGTTCCCCGACCACTAGTCCTTACTCACCTCAACAAAATGGGGTTGCAAAGTGGAAAAATCGTGACCTCCTTGAAGTTCTTCGTGCTTCCTTGTTCGAAGCCCACATGGCCACTAGTTTGGGGCGAGGCAATCACTAGTGCTGCTTATCTGATCAATCCTGTTCCTTCTAGCTCCTTACAATTTTAGACACCTTTTAATGTTCTTCATCAGACTATAAGTGCTCCAACTATCCCGAATCTACCCCCTCGAATATTTGGTTGTGTGGCTTTTGTGCATCTTCATAAACCTTTGAGAACTAAGTTGGAACCTAGAGCTCTTCGCTGTGTCTTTGTTGGCTATGCATCACATCAAAGAGACTATCGGTGTTATCATCCCCCTTCTTACAAACTATAAGTTACTCTTGATGTGGTATTTCATGAAAATGAAATGTATTATTCCAAGTCTTCACTTCAGGGAGAGAATCGAAATAATTAAAATGAATTGCAGACTCTGAATTGTTCCTTGGACAAATTGGATTTTATAAATGATGATAATTTGAATATGAGTGGTGAATGTCTACATGAACACATTTCAGAGTGAAAATATTCTAGATCAAGTGAAAATCTCTCCCACTACCACTCAAGGCCCAAGATTTACTCGTGGAGATTGATGTTATTAAGTTAATTGTATATTGAGAGATATAACTTTCCTAGATTAGGGATATAAATTGGCTTTTATACCCATTAATTTCTGTAATATTTACATAGAAAAGAATTCTTTAATTTACTTCTTTAAAATGATCGTGCCAATTTTAATGCAGAAGAATTCGAGAAAGCCATTCAACATATTAAACATGTCAATTAGATGCTTAAAGTTAGTGCTCTATATAATACTTCAACAATTAAAGCGATCTTCAAGATCAAAACCTTGTATGTGGTTTGTGTTTTTCTTCATATGTATAAAAGGTGTGGGAACGAGAAATGAAACATACCATGTAACATTGCAGATACACTACCATTACTGTAATGATCATAAACTGTGAGCTTTTCATCTTTGGAAAAATAGTAAGCCTTCAACGTGCACACGTTTTCGTGCCGGACATTTCCAATGACCTCCATCTGTTGTCTGAACTTCTTTTCTGAAATATTGACCACATTCAATGTCTTTAGCACAACTGTTATTCCATTATCCATAGCTGCCATATATGCACTTCCAAATGTTCCCTTCCCCAGAAACTGAGAAGTAGACCTCAACATGTCTTCAAGGTCGAAAGCAAAACTAAAACCCTGAACAAATACCAGCTTAGAAACCTCCTTTTCAGCAGATGTTTCTTTCTTTTGCAAATTTTCAACTGCCGATGGAGGTAGCTCATGATACGGAGATGAACCTCCAGGGCTTGCAAAATCAAAAGGCACATCAAGGACTTGAGAATCCAAACTGAAATCAGACGGTATAGAGCTGACACTTGGGCTCCGATCGTGAAACATTTGCCATAGTTCCTCTCTCCGGATCACAGCTCCCACCAATCTCTCCCAATTGTCGTAGATGTTCGACATCTCTCTTCAACGTAAAAATTCTCTTGGTAGCTCAATCAAAATGAAAATTGCTGAATACTTACCGCGTATCCCAATATTCCCTCAGTACTGATATTGACGTTGCTGGGCCTTTTGTTCATTCTTAAGAAATTATATTCCGATGGTTCATACGTGCATTGGCGTCAGAAAATGGTGGATAAATGGACGAATCTTCCTGGTACTTACTATTCAGCAATGAAATAGTACAACTTTCACCGGTAGAAATACGACAAACATTTTCTTGTACTCCAGTTAGCCCCTGTTAGCTCCTTAACAAAATCAGGTTTTGATACCCCCCATATGATTTTAGAATAGAAAAGGTCTCAATTAAGATCACTTTTTGATACTTTCCATGAGATTTTAGAATAGAAAATTTCTTGCAGAGATCTGCCCGTTGCAGCATTCTACATCCCTATGTAAAATAGTCAATTTTCAAAATGCACCATCACTTGCCTTCTTCGAAGACAAAACTACCCCTGATTGGAATTTTTTCCTTACAATTCAACAAAAACGTTGGTAAAATGTAGGAAAAGGCACAAATTAGTTGATAGGTCTTGCAGTAACAACATTGAACAAAAACATATTTAATTGCACAAGAGCCTGGATAATTCACAGTGGGATTGATTTTTTCATCTAAAATCACAATCTGTAATTATTTTCTTATAAGAAAACCTATTCTCGAGATAGAAGCACAAATAAACTATGAGCTGAATAAATAGTTCCTCATCCTCGCATTATCAAACCTGTCAACCAAATCTTATTTGTCATGTACGCCAATATTGATTATGAACACGGTCATATTCAATAATATTCCCAAGTATAATGCACAAAATTCTAATTTATTTTCCTTCAGATAACCCTACAGGATATAAATGAACAAGGTAGGACAAAAATTTCAAGTATGAACGTGACAAAAAGGATCATGATAAACTACTAAATCAATTAAACAATTTGGTTAACTATTTCCTAATTAAAATACTAGAGAATATAAAGCTGTTAAATAGAAAACAAGATCAGGGAAAAGAAAACTATATCACATAAACTAATTTCAATAAACAAATATCAATTTGTGAAACTGAATAGGATCCAATCTAAGCCCCAGATGGTGTTAAATTTGGTGTCGAACCTGAAGATTTTGTTTCATTGGATGGCCTATTGCCCGTATTGACACTTCTAATATCCTCAACCACTTTTACTACATCGACCATTTTTGGTCTCTGTGCCAGCATTCTCATAAAATAACTCGTACCTATTTGCAACATTGCTACCATTTCTTCCTCTATATTAGGATACCTCAAGAGCTTGAAGTCAAATACTTCAAAAGAGGGCTCATTGGTAAGAAAGATGGAGTGCAGCCTGTAGATCACACGTAAGGCACAGTCAGATTTCTCGCACAACGGATCCACATTCCATTTCTCACATACAAAATAATGGACCCACTGAGAAGTTCGAAGAGGAGGATGCCATAACTGTAGACGTCAGATGCTTGGGACACCTTTCTTGTGTCTGTTACTTCTAGTGAGCGATTTGCTACCGTTAGCAATACTAGTGGTGTGATGGGACTCATCAATGTTGCCAACCCAAGATCGGAAAGAGAACTGTACATTTTTATGCTTTTATTTTTCTAGTGATTTTAATTAAATTTGTGAAGATCAATGTATAATATATCAATGTTCTATACTGAGACATCCAAACAAAAATGTTTATATGAAAAAGAAAATTAGGATATTAGTAGAGATGATAAATGCAATGTAAACTTACTCTAAGTTATCATTTAACTTGTGAGGTAAAGCATTATTGAGTGCAAGTAGAGTGTTAAATACAATTCCTTCAAAACTTACAAAAGCTTCTTCTTATGAATTGTGGAAGGTAAGAAAATCAAATATTGGATACTTCAAAGAGTGGGGATATCTTTCTTGTTGTAAGAACACAAACCCTAAAAGGATCAAGTCGGGTCCAAAAGACATCAAATGCGTCTTTATTGGATATGCTAGTAATAACAAATCCTAAAGATTACAGAATTTGGAAACCATTGTAACAATTGAATCAAATAACGTGGATTTATTTATTTATTTATTTTTTGTGGAAAATTCACTATCTTCAATAATGAATTAAGAAAAATTCATAAAGAGATTTCTAACTCTAGTAGAAGAAGAGGAAGCATATCTTAAAGATGATGAATCTGGTGAATCTTGTAAAAGCAAAAGAATTCGAAAAGAAAAGACATTAGGATCATAGTGGAAAAAATGAGATGAATGTTGTTAAAACAATAATTTTTGTTCTACAAGTGAGAATTGATTAAAAAACTATAAAGAAGTTATGGCTTCTCGTGATAGTATCTTTTGCATAGATGCAACGAATAATGAAATTGATTCAATTTGTCAAACAACATGAAAGCTTAATAATTTACCGCCCGAGTCTAAACCTATCGAATGTAATTGAATTTTTAGGAGAAAACATAATGTAGATGGTTCTCTTAATACCTTTAAAGCTAGATTAGTAGCTGAAAATTATTGACAAAATGAAGGGATTGATTGTTTTGATAAATATGCATTGGTAGCTGGTAAAACACCAATTAGGATAACATCAATATATAACTTATTCAAGACCATGGTGTTAGGCAAAAGATGGGTGGACCTCTTTTATTAATTATAAACAACCAAAAAGGATTTTGGGTCAGTCCTCACACGCTATGCCCACCCTCTCGTCTGCCGTATTGAACTTTCACATAATTTCCTACTGTTCCTTTTGATATAGTACACAAGAGTAGAACAGAAGAATTACCAGCGAGAGAGAGGATGTTTTGTATGTTATATTGAGTAAAAACTGTTGGGTTTTAGGCAATGGCTTGTAGTTGGAATCCAATTGAATTTTGTCAAGAGCCCATTTGTCTTCCATTATGGGAGAAAATATAGAGTTTTGAATAGTATTTTTTGGAGAATGTGTGGTTGAAATTTAAAAGAACTTTATTGTTTTGTGTGTAAAATATTTTATTGTGTAATGTGTGGTGGAAAATGTTACTGTAGCAAACAATTTAATTTATTAAAGGATGACAAATAGAATTGAGTTTCAATTGGGTTTCCGTGTGAAGTTGTTACAAGTAATGCTATTTAATTTCATCATAGTTGCAACCCCAATTAAATGGTACTAAATGATAAGTAAAATAAAATATGGAATTAAATGCTATATCAGCGTCACCTAAATTGGGGTTGTAATATAGAGCTACGTAATATTACTTGAATTAACAGGCCTTGTAGAGGCCCTCCTCCCACGTTCTCTCATCTCTGTGGGTCCTCCATTGTTAAAATAATACCCACCCCACCCCATGCCACCCCACCCCCCAAATGTGAAATGAAGTGCTCTACAGCCTTGTAGAGCAGCATGGTCCATATTACTTTGTATATTTTAACATAAAAGGAGTCAAAAAATGTGGCCGAATGTGGAAAATTGAACACTGCTTTATATTTCTTTTTGGTGTAATGTCAACTCCCATTGTTAATTATGAGTCTCCACTTAACCCTGTTTCTTAAAATTTATTTCTTTTTAAAATTATTTTTTATTACACATTTTATGATATTTAAAACTTTTATTAACTTTTCACCAATTTTTATTAAAATTTATTAAAAATTTTATTTTTTTTATCCAGACCAATCTGAGTTTAAATATCATTTTATGTCAAAGAACACTATACTATTTTGAAGTAATTATTTCTAATGAAGGTTATTAATTTAAACTTCTAATAACAAAACTATACTCCGAGAGGATACCAAAAGCGAGCAACTTTTGTCAAAATTGGAGACGCGTTTGGTGTATATTTGTAGTTGGACACGACATGATTAAGGGAAAGAGACATAATAAAGTTAAAGTAATTGTGCCAATTATTCTCAAGTTCGTGGCACAAATATATATGAGCCAAATAAATAGTTCCTCACCTCCAAATTTGTCATGTTTGCCGTTGACTATGAACCAGTCATTAATCAGTAACATTCACGAGAATGACTGAACAAAATCTATGAAATTATAGCTTACTTTCCTTCAACGTACCCAACAAGTTATAAATGAACAACGTAGGACAACAATTTCAAGTGAACTACTAAATCAACTAAGCAAATTGACCAATAATTTCCTAGTGAATATGTACTAGAGACTACAATGCTGTTAAAAATGAAAACAAGAACAAGGAAAAGAAAGGTATGCCCCTGTTTGGGGTCCATTATAATGTATTTTTCGAGAAAATGCATTTTGAAATAGTGATTTTTTTATTTTTTTAAAAAATCTGTGGTTAAAAAAGAAAAAATATTTTGAATTTATGTGTATATTATTTTATTGGAGAATGTGATTAAAAAGAAGAAAGAGAAGTAGGTGAAGATCCAATCTGAACCCCCACCAATTGGTGTTCAATTTGGTGTCGAACCTGAAGTTTTTGTTTCAGAGGATGTTTGTCGCGTGATTCTTATTGTAAGTGAATAATTTTGATTATCAAGTAATAAAGTGATTCCGAGAATTCAAATTATTGTTTCCACGAATACTATCTATCTAACTTTTAGTTTAACAATAAACTAATCTTAAACTTTCATCCGAGTAAAACTAGTACAAAGTCATTTTAATTATGATCCTAATTACAAATATACGAAAACAAGTAAATGTACACAAGATAAAATTAGAGTTTTTACTTATGCAAGAAAAGTGTTAGGACTTACAATTTCAATGTGATCATTCCCTATAATCTCGTCTCTCTAATTTGATTCCTAAAGTTGTATACGATCTAATTTACTATTTTAATCGATTTATCTCTAATATCTGTTCGAGTCAAGTCACTATATCTCTGTGTGAATCAGAATCAAGGTTCAATTGAACCCATCAAATCACATAGGAATTCAATTAATGACTTCAATATTAATAAAAAAAGCACCTCTACCTTTCATCCTGAAAAGCTCTAATTACTAATTAAGTTTGACCTTACGTGTGGAATTATGCAATTAAAAGAAACAAGTCATTTTTAATTGTTTTTAAATGGTTAATCAAAAAGTTCAATTTGTCCTATGATTTAAATGCCACAAACAATAAATATGAAAGTAATAAAGAACACCAATATTGTTGACGGAGAAAATCCAATTGGGTAAAAACTCCGGAACCAAGCCATTAACCTCCATTTTAGACAATGATGAATTTACAGTACAATCTAGTCTAGAAAATTCCACTAGACTCGCTGATTTAATTCCTGCAATCTCCAAGATCCGCTGGAACGTACTTCACTCACACCTGCTCCCGATCTT